GTCCACTCATCTTAAAGGGTCCAAGTTTGGACAACACTGCCTTACTGGAATATCGGTTGCATTCACAACACACTACATGTTGGTAATTTTTTGTGGCTTCAGGTGCCATATTAACCCAGCCGAGCACGGTCAGCTGATACTTCTACCCACTGGGTGAACCTGCCCCCCTGAATTTCCCAAACCCAGGTTCCAGTTAATCAGATTTAGTGCATTATTATGTGAATGAAGCCCCTCTAGTTTTCCTTACTAGGAAAAGGGAGAACAGAGGCCTGATCTTCCCAGCATCAGCCATGAAGAAAAGGCTGGGTTCACTTCTGTGTCCCTCACTGCCTGGACCAGCCTTGTGGTGGATCTCAAGCACACACACACATACTCACACCAACCTGCTCCACCAGGAAACAGATAGCAAAGCCCAACAAGAACCATTTTCCCTGCACTAGTGGAAGGATCCTGTCTTACGCCTTTGTTTAAAAACAGAACCTCTGGTTCCAGGGATTTGATCTGGCATGTCTTGTGGCAGACAGAGAAGCTGTGACAACGATTTAAGGCAAATCTTGCAAAAAACAAAACAAAACCGCACCCCAATAAAGTTTCTATGCCTCTAAAAAAAAGGTAACAGGCATTTCATCAGTCAAATTGTTGACTGACAAGATTTTTTTAAAAAGTTGGCCAACTTGGGCCACACAAGTAGGAAAGAGGCAAGCTGGCGAGTCGGCAAGCTGGCAACAGTGAAGTGGGTTTTTAGTTGGTTTTTTTTCCCCTGAACAAATCTACAGCATTTAAAAAAATGTCTTTAAGCCTCCTGTGAAGTTTTAGGCCTTTAGGAAAAAAAACAAGTGCTGCATTTTGATAGGATGGTAAGAACAGTATCTGCCAAATCAGAAGGCAGGAAACGCTCCGAGCCCAGCCACGCTCACCTTCTACGTCCATACGGTTAGCTCCGTGAAGAGGTGGCATGGAAAGGGGGGGCAGAACATCTCGTCCAACTCGGAGGGGCCAAGCCCTAACTACTACCCCCTCTTGGAAGGCTGCCCCTCCCCGCCAGATCCCAAAGAATAGCTGGAAGCGCCAGTGGGCCAAGGGCGCACTGTGAGTCTCAATCGAAAGGGCAAGTGGCCCACTTGGAGTTCAAGCCCCGGAGTCCAGAGGGACCGGCTTACGAGTTGAGAAGCGAGTTTAAGTCCAGATCGACCATGGACGAAAAGCTGTCCTCGGCGGGAAGGGCCCCCAAAAGGCCATTGAGGAAGCTGTTGTTGGTTGAACTGCCGCCGCCCCCGCTGTCCCCGTTGCCTCCAGGCTCCCCTCCTGCCCTCCGCTGGCTGACCAAGCGGGTGATGGATTCCGGGTAGGTCAGCAGAGTCCCCTGGTTGTCCGGCAGCGCCGAGGGCCCCGCTCCTTCGTTGAGAAGCTGCCGGAACTCGGTGGTGTTGATGCTGTCCAGGCTGCTGTAGGGCGCGTCGTCCAAGATGCCCCCTAATGCATCCCCGCCTTCGAAGTGCAGGTGCAGGAAGGCGTCCGCGATGGTGGTTTCTGTGTCCAAGGTGGAGGGCTGGACTTGTGAGGAGACACCCAGGCACGATAACTCCTCCATGTTCACTGTGCTGAAGCTGGAGGTCACAGCCACTGGAGGCGGTGGGGTGGGATGCCCGGGCCCGACAAAGAAGCCGGCGGGAGGTTGAGTCATGGCCTGGGGCTTCTGGGCCGACAGCAGTGACGCCTGCCCCGATGCTCCCAGAAGACCTGGTACAGCTGGAGAGAAGCAAACCGTGTCTTAATAAAGAAACTGGGCTGCGGCCAGAGCTAACGAGCAGCGTTAGGGCCTTTCTCCAAAGTCTGAGACCGATTAAGAGTTTCAGATCCTGCACGAGCGATGGCCGAAACCTGCTCGGCGTGCTTAAACCTGGGGAAAAGAAGTCATGTAGGAAGCGAAGCACTTTTGTGCTCTCTCGCAGCAGGAAAAGAGAACTGGAACCAAGCGGGGGGGAGACTGCAAGGAAACCCATCTTAGAAGCGTGTCTCAAAAACAGAACAAGCCGTACCTCTGCTGGAACACACCCGCCGGGCGTCTGCTTGGACAAGTCCCTGCAGTTTTCTTGGCAATGTTTTTCAGAAGCGCTTTGCCTTCCTCCCAGGGCTGAGAGAGGGGGACTGGCCCCAAATCCCCCAGCTGGCTTTGTGTCTGAGGCAGGACTAGAACTCACAGCCTTCTGGTTTCTAGCCTGGGGCCTTTAATCACTCCACCAAATTGGCTCTCTTGTTGTTCCGTGCAGAAAGAACATACTCCCCTCCCCCAAAATACATGGAAAAGGTCCCTTGGAGGAATGTTCATCAGCTGGGCACCCCCCAAACAAGCTTGAAATCAAGATCACTTTCTCCAAGGCAACTCAACTGGCTACAGAATCCAGTAACTCAGGACCCTTCTGCCATTAAAGTAGGTTTGGGGTTAAACCTTTCTGTTTAAAAGCATTTCAAGAGTTAGGTTAGGACAGTGTTTCTCAACCTTGGCCACTTTGAGATGAGTGGACTTCAACTCCCAGAATTCCCCAGCCAACCCTGGTGGGTCGGGGAATCCTGGGGGTTTAGGGCCATTATCTTTATGGGGGCCCCGGTGGGGAACACTGGGGTAGAAAGGGTA